AGTTCTGGGAGGGAGGTGGGAATGGGACCTGTGGAACCTACAGGCAGCTTCTTCTATGGTGAGACTGTTCCCCACCAGGCTGAGGAGAGGCATGGAGGGTTAAGTGGAATGAGACTCTGGTACACTATATCTCTGGAGGCTTGAGGAGTCTGATCAAATCTTGACTTGTGAGCCTGTGCCAAGGACAAGTCCTTGGGGTGCAGTGAACTTTTTGAATCTCACACATGAAAGACACTCACCTCTTCTTAAAAGCAGTGCACTTTTTTTTTTTTTTTTTTTGCAGTACTGGGGTTTGAACTCAGGGCCTAAACCTTGAGCCACTCCACTAGTCCTTTTTTGCGACGGGTTTTTTCGAGATAGGGTCTTGTGAACTATTTGCCCCAGCTAGATTTGAACCACGATCCTCCTGATCTCTGCCTTCTGAGTAGCTAGGATTATAGACTCTATTGGCCAATGACCCACCAGTGCCCAGTTGTTTGCTGTTTTTTGAGACAGGGTCTCACTACGTAGTTCATTCTGACTTGAACTCATGATCCCCCCTGCTTTAGCCCCAAATTTTGGGATTATAGGTGTGTCATACCTCTCCTGGCAAGCAGGACACTTTTATGGGCCCATTAATGCATCTTCCTTTATGCCTTTTTTCTTACACACACACACACACACAACTTTTTGGAAGCTAAGGATTGAACCCAGGGCTTTGTGCATGCTAAGGACATGCTCTACCACTGAACTATACCCCAGCTTCCCTTCCTAAATCTTCACCTGAAGCGCTTCCTTTTTCTAACCTCTTCATCCCATTCCCTACCGATCTTGGAAACCTGAAAGATACTTTCCTGGCAGTCCTGAATTTCTACTCCCAAACCTAGCCCATGCAGGCCACCATCTCTTTTGGCCAGTCTTGAGCTTATGTGTGTTAAGGTTCTATGGCCCAGATCTTGGTATTCAGTCCAGCATCTGTCTGAGACCCTGCCTGTTGTCATAACAACCGTAACTAACCTTCACGGAGCACAAATTCTGTCCTAGACATTGCATTAAGCATCTTATCTAATTAGGTCATTTAATTATCACAAAAGGAGACATAGATTGCAAAGATTATCCCATTTTACAGAAGTGATAACTGAGGCACAAAGAAATTAAGTAACTTGTTCAAGGTCACCACTAGTAAGTGACAGAGATGGGATACAAATCCAGGCAGCCAGGTTCCAGAGCCCATACTTTTTCCTCTCCAATGCTCCTCTAATGTTTGTTGGACTGACTCCAGTGTAGTAGAGTTACAGGAGGTGGCTAACACTAGAAGTGAGACACCCTTTGGGGTTCCTCAGGGAGTTGACCAGGGTGACACCAGGTACCCAAGAGAGGGGAAACATGGCCCTCACTTTCTCCAATATCCAGTCTTTCTTTTCAGCAGCTAGAGGCCCTGCAGCTAGATAAGGCTTTCTCTACTCAGAAGCATGGAGATAGGGGAGGGGCTGAAAGGCTTGCCTAGAGCCTAAATGAGCTGGAGTCAGAGCTAGGACCTCCAGAGGCCCATAGATGGCGCTCATGGCCCAACACAGCCCCAGTAGTCCAAGGATACCTACAGAAAACAAGTAAGCAGGTTAACCCCTTCTCCACTGGACTCAAGCAGGAGGAGCAGCCTGCTGGACCAGCCCAGGTGATAAAATTTTCTAGTGTCTGCTATAGGTCACAGCCTGGGTCTGCTTCTGCTTCTGGCCCACAAGGCCCTTCGCCTAAGTCACAATTAGCCAATTCCTTGAAGACTTCCCAGAGGGTCAGCTAAGAAATGGACAAGATGGTTAGGAGGGCCCCACCTAAACCCATGTTTCTGGGTCTTAGTTTTTAAGCTTCAGGAGAGCACTTCATCTCCATTTTCCCTGAGAGAGACTGACTAGGCAAGGGAGGAATGGCATAAAAGCTAGAGGCAGAGAGGGCCCCAGACCCCTCTGGAGTCGGCAGTTCCCTGTGTGTTGATCAAGCCTTGGTTTTCCTTTATATATGGATTCCCTATCTCTGAGCTTCCTGTAGAGACAGAATGAGTTATTCAATTTTTTCAGGAAGTTGAAATTATGGGTGGGACCTTTGTGGGATCTATTCAAGCGCCTGCCACTCATTTAACTCATTATTGTCCTGCCAGAGGTAGACTTGCTAAGATGATAAACTGTAAGTGCTGGGGCAAACAGTGATAGAAGGGTGGGGTGGACAGGAGTGCGTCCAAGGGATGGTTGAGATCCTAGAATTCTTACATAATGAGAGGACACTACAGTGAAGTCTGTCTTCTCTTATTTTTTTTCAGAGGTACACAAATAAAGAGACCCATTGAGGTAGAGAAGCTTGTTCTAGAAGCTTACTCTCATTTTATTCATTCCAAAGAAGCAAAGCCAGGGAGATATTCACAGAGGGAGACAGAGACATAAAGATACAGAGAGAAAGCTATGCAACCCTATAGATAAGAGATAAATTTGTATAGGCAGAGAGATGCAAATATACAGAAAGGAGAAGAATCTGGTACAAATTAAAGCTCAGGAAATAATGGACTTCATGGGGTGGATGATTAATTCAGTTTCTGAAGTTTTGCAAGGGTAGGGGCTGTTTCTCACCTTGATGTCAGGGGGCACTGCTCAGACTCCCTGAAGCTCCTGCTGCACCCATTAAGTGTTGGTCTGTTGATAGGAGATCAGAGGCTTGGAAAAGGGGTAGTATCCTTATTCTCTCACTTCTTCCTGTTCTTAGGTTCACTGGTCTCCTTGCCTACTACCCATAGGGAGACCTTGCTTCAGTGATCAGAATCCTGGCTGTGCTCAGGCATGTGTGCAGGAGCCAGGGTGGGAGAAATTCAGAAAATAACTAGCCTTAGGAGGTTTCCAGTCTAATGAAAGTCTTATAGTCAGGACACAGAAACAGATCCAGATAGAGGACAACAAAACCAGGGATTGAATAATTTAGGAAATTGGTACTGAGATGGGGAGGTGGGGGAGTGAACCATTAGATGCGGCCATAGGATTAGGATTTGTCAGGGATGGCTTCTTGTGCAGAATATTTGAGAGGGAGGATTTGGAAAGATGAGAGATGTGATGGTTAATTTTATGTGTCAACTTGCATGGACTAAGGGACACCCACATAATTGGCAAAACATTTTTGGGTTTGTTTGTGAGGATATATTTGGAAGATGTTAACATTTGAATTGGTAGACTGAATCAAGAAGCTTATCACCAATGTGGGTGGGTATCACCTAATCCCTGAGGGCCCAATAAAACAGAAAGGCTGAAGGAAAGCAAGTTTGTTCATATTCTTTCTTTCTCTCTCTCTCTTTCCAGGGACTCCCTATGTACCACAGACTGGCCTTAACTGATGATCTTTCTGCCTCAGTATTCCCAAGTGTTGGGATTACAATGTTCACCACCATATCTACCTTTCAATTCTCTCTTTATAAACTGGGACATCCATCTTCTCCTGCCCTCGGGCATTGTTGGAGACCTGTCCAAAGTCTGTGGTTCTCAGGCCTTTCAGGCTTTGGGACTTAAATCAACAAGCTTCCCTGCAACCTCCCTTCAGACCCAGACTGAATTACACTGTGGATTTTCTTGGTTCTCCAGTTTAAGATAGTAATCAACAAATTGTGGGACTTCTTGGCCTCCATACTCTTCTGATTCAATTCTCATAACAAATCTCCTCATATAGAAAGATAAACAGATATCCTTTTGGTTCTTTTCTCCTAAATTAGGTTATAGGACTGAGCATACAGCATGGCAGAAGAGGGAGACAAATCAAAATGGCAAATTTGTGAAGGGAGATGCTGGTTGCTAAAGAATAAGGAGATGCCAGAAATGTCTTCGTGGATGTTCTATATATAATGGCCAATGTCCCCAGGAGGCTGCAAAGGAAAGGGTCTTTGCCATTGTCAATACCCTCAGGTAGTTGTGGGGATTGGAGATGGTTGGAGCTTCCTGATAGTTGTGCATGAATTTCGGGGTTGGGGCATTACAGAGTCTGGCCTCTCACTTCTCAAGACTTTTTTATTTAGCCCTGATGGTAAGAATAAACTACAACCTTCAGAGACACTATGTGCTAATTTAGAGCGCCTTCCGGGGATTTGAATATTTCCGGCGGAAGCGGCCGCGGCTAACTAATCTCGTTCGCTACATAATGTGGACTACGACTCCCAGTGCCCTTCGCGCCAGGCGTGGAAAGGAACCGGAAGCTGCGTGAGGAACTGGACGAGGTGAGGGAGTGGAAGCCTGGAACTTGGGTGTTAGGGCCTACTGGGGGCTTCCAGGGCTCTTCCGGAGGAACCGAGCGGGCAGTCAGGATGTTGGGGTTTCAGGTTCTTGGCTGGGTCTGGAGCCTCGGTGCCAGAGAGCCGAGCCCGCGGAACCACCTGGGAGGCCTGCGGCACGGAAGCGTCCCTGTCGCGTGGAGTCCGCGGGCGCAGGCGGAGGTTTTGTATCGTGCCGAGGTCGTCCGCTCCTTCAGAACCAGGAGGAGCGAAATGGCCTTTTTGAGTTTATGCTTACTGTCCCTGTGGATTTCTGGAGTGCCTCCAGAGGACGGGTGTGGATACTGTCTTGGATGCCTAATAAACTTCCTTGAGTTAATAATATCAAAAAGGTCTATTGTAGCTCTGGCCATATTTATCGCTGGGTCACCCTCTGCTGCTTTTGTACCTAATAAATTCGATACTGTGTTTTATAAAGCACTTAAATGTCTTAAGCTTCTGGTTCCTGGTGATTTTAGGTAGAACTTGGAAATTCCTCCTCTGGGCTCCTCTAGTCTTTTGTGCAGGATGTTAAAGCTCAGATTATGCTGTATTATAGTCAGTTGTGTATCTCTTCTTAGAGATGAAACCAGGACTTGTATCCAAGTCAGTTGATTTTCAGTCTGTGGTTCTTGCTATCAGATCGGCTTTGAAACTCTGGAACACTGAAAATAAGGTCTCATCACTTTTGTCCACCCCTTTGCCATTGCTGACTTTAGTATAGGGCAGCTTAGACCTGAGAGAGAACTTGGAGCTGGAGTAGCCCATCCTCTGGTGTTGGTGTTCCATAGGGAAATACAAAGCAAGGTCCCAAGAAATATTGGAGTTTGCCACACTTTCCTTCTCAACTTTCTTATGAGCCCAGTCAGCCTCGGGTACCTATCTGGAAAGATCAGGGAAAAGACTTCTTAGTCACGGGAAGTTCTTCTCAAGATTGGCCTCTGACTCTTTTCCCTTCTTCTACTTCTAGGGTCAGAGAATAGATTGGTGGACCAAACTGTTGTGTCAATGTTAATACAACAGCCTCATCTGGGGGAAGAGGTCGCTTTTGACCTGGACAGGAGGTTGAGAAGGAGGAAGAACAATGGTCTATGTCTAATGGAAGGCCCAGATGTGATGGAAACATACCCAAAGCCTGGCAAGCCCTAGAAAGCAAAGTGCTGAGTAAGCAACTAAACCTTGAGTGAACTCAAGATTTGGAAATAGAGAGGAGGCTAGGTGTGGAGGAACACACGTATTATTCCAGCTACTTGGGATGCTGAGACAGAAGGATCACAAGTTTAAGGCAAGCTTGGACAACTTACACCCAGTCTAAAACTAAAAATTAAAAAAGGGCTGAAGATGTAGCTTAGTGAGAAAGTTCTTGCCTAGCATGCTTAAGGTAGAGCACTTGCCTAGCATGGGTGAGGACCCATATAAAAATGTGGAGAAGAGTCCATCAGAAATGGTTTCTTGGGGCTGGGGATGTAGCTCAGTGATAGAGTGCTTGTCTAGCATGCTCAGGGCTCTGGGTTCAATTCCAGCATTGAAAAAAAATGGTTTCTTACCCAGGCACCAGTGGCTCACGCCTGTAATTCTAGCTACTCAGGAGTCAGAGATCAGGAGGATCGTGGTTCGAAGCCAGCTGGGGCAAATAGTTTGCAAGACCCTATCTTGAAAAAAACCCATCACTGAAAAGGGCTGGTGGAGTGGCTCAAGGTGTAGGCCCTGAATTCAAACCCCAGCACTGAAAAAAAAAAAAAAAAAAAAGAGTGGTTTCTTGGTGGAAAGTACTTTTAAACAATTGATAAAGGAGGATGGGTAGATCTTAGCATGTATTTATTGAGTACCTGATATGAGCTAGGACTTTGGAGGTATGGAGAGAAATTGAATAGGGTCTGGCCCTTGATCTGTCCAAATCTAGTTGTGAATTCATGAAGAAGCCACTAAACATGGTGACTCACAATGGCTTTCACCCTTCACTCAAATCACCTTGTTTTAAATACAGATGCCCAGGCCTCACAACAGACCTGTGCTAGTAACTTTTCATTGTTATGACAAATACATGAGAAAAAAACCTAAGGGAGGAAAGATTTATTATTTTGGCTCATGGTTTCAATCCATGGTTGCTTAGTTCCATGGGTGCAGGCTTGTGTTGAGGCAGAATAACATGGCAAGGTGAAGCAAAGCTGCTCACCTCATGGGAGCCAGGAAGCAGAGAAAGAGACAGACAGAAGGGGCCAGGGACAAGATATATCTTTCAAAGACACTCTCCCACAGATCTACTTTGTCCAACCAGGCCCCATCTCCTAATTTCCCATCCAGCTATGAACTTATCAGTGGGTTAATTAATAATTAATGAGGGTAGCATCCTCATGATCCACCTATCTCTTATTAGGAACACCAGCTGGGGACCAAGCTTCAACACATGAGTTTTTGGAGCCATTTTATATCCAAATCATAACATGCGGGACAAGGTAGGGAAACCTTGGCAAGTGCTTCTTTATCAAAGGGATGGTTTGAGCTGCATCTTAAAGGATGAGCATGATTTGAGTGTGTGAGGAGGTGGGGCAGTCACTGTCCTGGTTGATGAGTAGATGATGTACTGGTTATTTTGTAGAAATGTATGTGCAGATTTTTGGGAGATAGAGTAGGAAAGGCACTGTGAAAATTTGAGTGGAAGGACCAGGTTGGAACATTGGGTTTGCATGGAAGTGGTGAGAAGGAATGGCTTTTACAGTTTATAAGGCTTGCTGTCAAACTCCATTCCCCTCATCTTCTCATCCTCTCTCCTCTCCTCTTCCCTTTCTCCTCTTCCTTCCCTCACCTAAACATAACATCTCATTCCATCTTTATGTCAGTATTATGAAGTGGGAATTGTTATTCTTAGTATTTAGATGAGGAAACCAGAGGCTCTGGCCATGGTTGCATGGCTTGCAAAGTTAATTCTGTGTCTGGTAATCATCCTACATATTGCTGAGGATTCTTGAATGTGGGAAAGAAACTGGTCTGGGGTTAGGAGACTGTAGAATCAGTGGGGTGGCTGATCAAACCATCTAAGACAAGATGGTATGGGTAGTTAAGAGCATAGCCTTGAGTCAGATAATGTGGGTTCAAATCCCAGCTTTATTACCTGCTGTGTGACCCCAGGCAAGTTGCTTGATCTTGCTAAGCCTCGGTCTTCTCACTTGTAACATGGGAACAATAATACCCACCTCATGGGGTTGTTATGAAGATCAATGAGATGTACCTGGCATACAGCAATTGCTCACCACCTGGAAGCTATTGTAATTAGCTTTCCCTGGTCTCTGGGCCATGGCTGTGCACCTGCATCTCATTCGTTAGTGCAATGGTTTCCAGGACACAGCCCATCTTGACCAGGCTTGTTATGTTAAGGATGACATTATGCGGAAAGGATGCCACTAGTAAATATGTATTGAAAATGTGTAGTATGTGCTCAGCATGGCTTAGGAACTAGTGATTCGGACACGTCTGATGGAAAGGAGGTTTGGGAGGAAGGATGGTTGGCGGTTATTTTTATTCTCACTAGGTGATATATGAAGAGGAATGATACTGGAAGTAGGGAGGGGAAGGGCCCTTCATTACCAAGAACCAAGATGATTTGCCCCACTTGGTGTTTGATGGATGACTGACTTGGTTCCCTAGGATCCCTTCTTAGCTCAGGAAATGGTAGTAGGGGCCCTAGCCAGTACGGATCCTCCCACTCTAGGGTGAGGCCAATGGGACTTTGTCTACTTCTTTTCCAGGTAACAGCAGAATGGCTGTGCCTCAGACTTTCCCTCTGGGGCCGCTCCATGATTCTGCAGGTTCTGAGATGGAGCCCCAGCCCTGCACTCGAAGCTTGGCTGAGGGCTTCCTGGAGGAGGAACTGCGACTCAATGCTGAGCTGAGCCAACTGCAATTTTCAGAGCCTGTGGGCATCATCTACAATCCGGTGGATTATGCTTGGGAGCCACATCGAAGTTATGTGACTCGCTACTGCCAGGGTCCCAAGGAAGTGCTATTCCTGGGCATGAACCCGGGACCTTTTGGCATGGCCCAGACTGGGGTAAATGGCCTGGCTTCCCTTTGTGTGTGGAGTGGAATACTCTAAGGTGAATGCTTGGCTGGATATGTGGAGGAGGAGCATGCACATGGTTGTGTACGTGTGTGAATGTTCCCCCCATGCTTCTATCCCTCCCCCCAGCGCACACACTGGCTCCTGTGGTCTCAGACACTCTCTTGGCCTTTCTGACTGTAGTTAACCAAGCACATTAATGGTAGTTCGTTTCCTCTGTGAACTGTCCACTAATTGCTTCTGAGAGCCCTTTCTTCCGCCTTCTCCCATTCTTACCCCACCTTGCCGGATCTCCCGTGTCCCTAGAGTATGGTCAGGAGAGGGACTAGGACTGTGGGGTCCTCAGAAACTCTGGTTGTCAGAATTGGGTGTGTAAGAGATGCAGGGCATTTTGGCAACTCAGGTTCTCCCTCAACTTAGCAAAGCTCCAGGACCTGCCTGCTTTCCTTTCAGAGCTCAGGATGAGTGACTGCCCCACAGTGGGGGTTCTTGGTAGGTGGGGGAGGGGAAGAGGCCTCAGGGCAGGAGGCTCAATCGCTTTTATTGATCCCAACTGGGTGATGAAAGATGATCAATGATGATCGATAAAATGACAGCCTGAGGCTTGGGGGTGGGAGGGCACCTAGAGAGCAGTGGTCAGCTCAGTCCTTGTGCCTCCTTTAACCCTGACTACCTTTCTATCTCAGGCTATCCATCTGTCTCTACTATTAACAATCATGCCCTGGGTAGGACCATCTGTCCCAGTGTACTCTCTATACTTGGTCCCTGAGCCTAGTGGTGGTAGAGGCAAATAGAGCCTGTGGACCACAGTTCCTAATGAACAAACTGGAGGAAAAATGGACAGGATCAAGCCACAGGGACAAGAATCCTTGCTTCAGACCTCTGGGTGAAGGTGGGGGTTGGAGGAAGGGCTCAGGCTAGATCATCATGGAAGATGGAAAGGGGTCAGTTGGTCCAGATGGCTCAGGTGTCAGGGCTCCAGTTTGAATCCCCTGTGTTTCTCTCCTTCCCTACAGGTACCTTTTGGGGAAGTCAATGTGGTCCGGGACTGGTTGGGCATTGGTGGGCCTGTGCTGACCCCTCCCCAAGAGCACCCTAAGCGGCCAGTGCTGGGATTGGAGTGCCCACAGTCAGAGGTGAGCGGTGCCCGATTCTGGGGCTTTTTCCGGAACCTCTGTGGGCAACCTGAGGTCTTCTTCCGTCACTGTTTTGTCCACAATCTGTGTCCTCTGCTTTTCCTGGCTCCCAGTGGACGCAACCTCACCCCTGCTGAGCTGCCTGCAAAACAGCGAGAACAGCTCCTTGGGATCTGTGATGCAACCCTCTGCCGGCAGGTGCAGCTGCTGGGGGTGAGGCTGGTGGTGGGAGTGGGGCGGCTGGCGGAACAAAGGGCACGGAGGGCTCTGGCAGGCCTAATGCCAGAAGTCCAGGTAGAGGGACTCCTGCATCCCTCTCCACGAAGCCCACAGGCCAATAAAGGCTGGGAGGCAGCAGCCAAGGAAAGACTCAGTGAGTTGGGGCTGCTGCCTCTCCTATCAAAATGAGTGCCCTGGGGCCTGGCATAACCCCCACTCAAGGCTCTCAAGTCATTCTTGACTACACAAGAGTGCACAAGCAGATGACTACACACCTGTTGAACTGGAGCAACCAGGGCTTCCTGGGGCTCTCTTGTCAAGGACCTTGTTCTTTGTTCTGTCCCACTGTCCTCTGACATGCCGAGGCTGTGTCTAATCACATGGTGGGTGATTACCAAGACACTACTGCTTGCCATCCTGCTTCCTGCACCTTCTTTTGAGCATTGCCCCCTTCATCTTCCAGTAGTGGACTCCACAAGTGCCTCAGCAGAAGGTGGGCTTTGTGTGACTGCCCTACCTCATGTTTCCTTGGGCACCTCCATGCAGCAGAGGGACTCCTAGACAGGGACCTCTAAAGTCATATTTGCTGTTTCAGAGGAAAGCGTTTTAAGATTTTTTTATTGACACTTTTATTTTCAGTGCTGTGGTTTGAACCCTCAACCTGTGCACACTAGGAAAGTACTCTATCACTGAGCTGCATTCCTTGTCCCATTGACATGGATTAATTGTACATATTAATGGGGTCCCATACACAAGTACAGAATGCACCAATTGAATCTGGCCTCTCTGTCCACCTTCCCCCATCCTCACACCCTTCCCAACCAGGAGGAAGTTCTTGCCAGGATCACTACTCATTTTTAGAGAACAACTTCCATCAACTGCCCAGGATAAAGCATGGGACATGATGTGAGGAGTGCACTTCTTATGGAAGACTGAGGCTGAATCACAGGGAGAACTCAGTGTGGCAAACTAGGAAAGTCAGAAGAGGACTGGGAATGTGGCTCCCATGGTAGAGGACTGGGAATGTGGCTCCCATGGTAGAGCACCTGTCACTAGTGAGTGTGAGACCTGAGCTCAAACCCCAGTACCACACACATACACACACACAAAAGACGTGAATTTTTATCCTAGTTTTGAGACTTGGGAACTTTATTTTATTTTTTCTTTTTGAGAGGCTTGTGAATTCTTTGGCTAAATTAATTAACCTTCCTAAGCCTCAGAATCCTTATCTGTAGGATAGGGATGCCTCCCTCATGAAGTTGGTGTGAGGATCAGCTGAGATATCACTTAAAAGTGCCTTGCAAAGGCCTGCTCACTACATACTCTTCTTGTTTTCTTGCTGTGGGCTGGGGAGTCACTACACTACAAGGGAAGCCTCTCCCTACTCTGAAGACCTACTGGAGTGAGTCTAGGCCTCAACTGGTGGCCTGGACGAGGGGAAAATCCTGCCAGAAATGGACCAATGACTTTATGGAAAACCCACCCTGTGTTTTTTTTTTGTTTGTTTTTTTTGTTTTAGTGTAAGCATTAAAAGTGCCTAAACTGTTTGTGTTTGTTACTTTTTTCCCCTTCTGCATGCTGGGGGTGGGAGACAGTTGTTTGGATTTTTCCCTTGTGTACCTCTACTCTTTGCAAAATGGGTTCTCTTTTTTGGTGGTACTGGGGTTTGAACTCAGGGCTCATGCTTGTAGGGCAGATGGTGTGCCACTTGAGCTACACTTTCAGCTCTCTTGGGTAGCTGGGGGAAGGATAGAATAGTTCTTTAATTGGCTTTGCAATTAAATTCTTTGCAATTAATGGTCTTTCATAGGGGCCTGTCCAGTAGTTTATCTGATTTTTGGAGCATCATGGGGAACAGGTGACAGAATGGGTGCCTGGTCTGACTTTTTCTGAATGGCTGGTTGGGTGCTCCTTGGTAAGGGTGGGAAGATGAACCAAGTTGGGAGCACAGATCTTGAAATTACCTTAATGAGGAATACATGGTTTCCCGATCTCCTGGGACACTGGTCATTTCCAACAATCTCAAAATTAAGATTTTTAGCCAGGTGCCAATGGCTTATGCCTGTATTCCTAGCTATGTGGGAGGGTGAGATGAGAAACTTGCAGTTTGAGGCCAACCCCGGCAAGTTCTCAAGACCCCTTCTCAACCAATAGCTGGGCATGGTGTCATGTGCCTGTCATCCCAAGCTATTCAGGAGGCTAAGATCAGGAGGATTGGGGTTCCAGGCCAGCCTGCACAAAAAAGTTTGCAAGACCCCATCTCAAAAAAAAAAGCTGCGTGTGGTGGGGCGCACCTGTCATCTCAGAGACAGCAGGAAGTGTAAAATAGTATTGCTGCCCAAAGTGAGACTTTGTCCAAAATAACTAGAGTAAAAAGGTCTGGAGGCATGGCTTAAGTGGCAGAGCACCTGCCTAGCAAGCGCAAAGCTGTAAATTCAAACCACAGAACCACCAAAAAAATATATAACTAAATAAAAACAAGATTTTTAGTTTAATAAGCTGGGGACAGTGGTTTACGCCTGTAATCTTCAATCAGAAGGAATGCGGTTTGAGTCCAGCCTGGGTAAAAAGTTTGGAAGACCCCATCTCAACTGAAAAAAAAAAAAAAAAACCCAAAAAACTGGGCGTGATGGTGCATGCCTGTCATCCTAGTTATATGGGAAGTGTAAATAGGAGAATTGTGTTCAGGCAGCCCTGGGCATAAACACAAGATCCTATTTGAGAAATAAAGCAAAAAGGGCTGGGGGCACGGCTCAAGTGGTAGAGCACCTGTCTAGCCCTGCAAACCTCAGTACTGCAAAAAAAAAAAAAAAAAAAATTTTTTTTTAGTTTAAATTCTTCTCCCATCATTGTATAATAAAGAATTTGACCTACCTTTGTCCTCTGTTCCTGAGTGGCAGCCTAAATCCTTGGAGTTTCCAAGTGATAGGAGTATCTTTGTTATTCGTGGTGGGTCCCTCAAAACCATATCCGAATTTATGTTGAGATTTGACCTTAAGTTTATATTGAAATTTACTCTCAAACTGCACCTGGGTTTACGCTAAGATTTGACCCATGATGGAGAGCCAGTCATGCCAGAAAGACCAACCATATATGCTTAGAGGGTTGGGACTTTCAGCTGGGTGATACCAGCCTTATCTCTAGGGAGAGGACGGGGGCCTAAAGATTGAATTCAACTACATAGCCTGTGATTTCAGTCAGTCATGCCTATGTATTAAAACCCTAAAAAGAACTCTGGTGTCAAGGTTTTGGTCATTTTCCTCGTTGGTGAAAACATGGATGTACTGAGAAGGTGATATGTCCTGATTCCATGGGCACAGGACACAGATCTGTATTTGAACACTCTCAGACCTTGCCTTGTGTGTCTTTTCATTTAGCTGGTCCTGATTTGTACTGTTACTATTTTTGCAGTTCTAAGGGATCAAACTCAGTGCCTTGTACATGCTAAGCACACACTATACCATTGAGCTACATCCCAAGTCCCTGATTTGTATTCTTTGTAATAAACCTGTGATAGTAAATACAGTATTTTCCTGAGTTCTGTGTGTTTCTACAAATTATTGAACCTAAGGTGTTGCAGGATCTCTTGAATTTATAGCCAGTTGCTCAGAAGTGCAGGTGGAATGGAGAGCCCCTAAACTTGCAACTGGCATCTGAAGTAAGAGCAATCTTGTTGGGGACTGTGCCTTTAAACCTGTAGCATTTGGTTAGATTCCTGGTAGTTAACATCAGAATCATATTACAGCATTGCACCAGTCACATTCTTTTGCCTCCTTTCCTGCCTTTCTGCTGTCAGTGCAAAGGTGCTAAGTAGTGAGTGCCCCACTGCTGAACACTGGATTAGGTACTGTGGAATAACTGCAGAGATGTTTCCCTTACATATTTAGCTGAGGTAGTCAGGAAAAGCTCTCTGGAGGAGGTGGAGTTTCAGGTGGCCTTGGAGATGAGAAGGTTTGAGAGCTTAGAGAACAGCATCACTATGTTCAAGAGCTGGTGAGTAACTTACTGTTGGCTTGGCCCAATTGGGAGAAAAAGTTGGGGAGGTAAGTTAGGGCCAGTGTGTGAAGGGTCTTAAATGCAAGAATAATCTTTGAGAGTTTATAGAGACCAGCAGAGGAACTCAGATGCATAGAACACACACATTGAAAACATCCTACAATAAATGGAAATCCACAGATGAAGATGAAAAATGTGTTAGCTTTCTGTCACTGTGACAAAACCTGTGATAACTTAATTTTTAAAAGTTTATTTTTGTTTGGTGCTGGGGAATGAACCAGTTAGGCTAGCTCAGTGGTACACTGAGTGGCTAGATACCACTCTATAACTAGCCTGGAAAAGGGACATTTTGGCTCACAATTACAGAGGTTTTGGTCCGTAGTCGCCTTGGTCCTGTTGCTTTGGGCCTGTTGTGACACAGTATATCACAGCAGGAGTGTGTGGCAGAGATGCCTGTTCACCTCATAGCAGTTGGGAAGCCAAGATAGAGAAGAAGGAGCTAGGGTTCCAATATCCCCTTCAAAAACACACCCTCAGTGACCTGACTTCCTTCCACTAGGCTCTACCTCTTAAAGGTTCCATCACTCCCAATAGCACCTTAGGCTGGTGATCAAGCCTTCGACATAAGGCCTTTTGGAAGACATTCAAGATCCAAACCCTAGTAAAGGAGCCAGCCATCTAGGAGGTAGTGTAGGTGCAATAAGAAAGGAATAGCAGGGCAGAGATTAGCATGTAGGGAGGGTATTCTTATCCTGGGGGCACAGACTGGGGCTGGGGAGAATCAGATGGAGGTAGGCTTAAGTAGTGCACAGAGGAACTTGAGTAACAGACTAGGGTGACTTGATCTGGCTTCTAGTGGGGCTATTGTCCTCAGTTCCTGGAGTGTGACTTGTCAGGGAGAAGCTGGCTAGGGTCCTGGCCTACCTTTTTCCAAGAGCATTAGATTATACTGTCAGGGCTGTCATAACAAAAATACCACAGACTGGGTGACTTAAGTAACAGAAACTTACTTTCTCACAGATCTGGACACTGGAAGTTCAAATTGAAAGTGTTGGTAGGTTAGGTTTCTCTTGAGGCCTCTCCTTGGCTTGCAGATAGCTGCTTTCTCCCTGTGTCCCTCAGCTTTTTCTCCATGTGTAGCTACCTGGTGTCCCTCTTCCTTCTAAGGACACCAGTCATATTGGGGAGCCTCAACCTTATGACCTCATTTAACCTAATTCTGTCTTTAAAGGCCCATTCTCCAAATACAGTCATATTAGCACTTAACATGTTTATTTTGTGGGACACAATTCAGTTTATAACAGCCACTCAGACATTGCTTTTTTTGTGCCTCACTGTGTTAAGATAGAGTTTCTATCTTGGAGTGCCTTTTTTCTGTCTACAGGATTAGAAGCTGGTCTAGTAGGTTAGCTGGCTGACCAGCCTTAGTACCAGCAGACTGGCTCCCACCAGTTCATTCTGGGGCAGTTTCTTCACTGCAAATGAGATTGTCTTTAGGGGAAGGAGGCTCATTATTTTCTTCTGAGACAAAGGGGATGGTGACTTCTACTTCTACCAAACAGTACTATGAAAAGTCTAAAGTCAAATTGATGTAATTTGAAATCAGCTAGGATTTTATAATCCAATACAGTAGCCACTAGCCATGTATGCCATTTTAATTCAATTAAAATGAAGTAAAATTCAGTTCTTCAGTTCACTAGCCCTACTTCAAGTGCTGAGTAGCCAAACATGGCTAGAGATTACTGGTAGAATGGCACAGAAATGAAACATTTCCGCTGCAAACTTGTATACAACAGCACTGGTCTAGAGGTCAGTGACTTGCAACCCTTCCCTTAATCAAAATTAACCTGTGGAGGTTTGGGAAAATGCAAGTGCTCCACTCCACTTCAAGAAATTTTGATTTGGGAGGTCTGATGTGCTTGCTGGTATGTCTTTACAGAATTTCTTTGTGCTACCATTATGCAACCAAGGTTAATTCTCCAAGGTAATCAGAGGTACCCTTGAGGGCCAGGAGAGGATCTTTTATATTCTTTTCCCTGCTACATAACCTTATGCTGGCACAGAGTAGGTGTCTATGAGGAAAGTGCCAGTAATGCATGAATCTGGTTTGGGAGAGCCAGCCCTTACTTGTGCCTATCCAAGAACATGAATTTCTCTAGAGCTTATTGCTTTTGCCCCGTGATAGTGACTTAGTTCTAGTTTAGAGGCGTATGGAGGTTTAAAAGCCCCATCCTAACACACACACACACACACACACACACACACACACACACACACACGGCAGAGACCAATGATGTGCTTAGGGTAGCAATGCTTTTGAGATTCTGAGGGGTAGACTGTTGGGGAAGAAAGAATCTTACTTCTTCAACAGACATGTGTTGATGTCTGCTGTGTGCCTATGCTAGGCACTGTAGGGAGTGACAGAGGAGAAGTAGATGATTCTTTACCCTCTTGTTCACTGTCTAGTGCTGGAGATACATGCATATAATTATAGTATAAATCAAATGAAAAACACACAGTGAACAAGTTATTAACAC